GGGGTGCTGTCTTTGCGCCATAGGCTCGCAGTGGGGGCATATGATTGATGAAGGGCGGCGTTCGGGGCCATCTCTGTGCAGGCTGGCTATATGAGCTGGGAGATTTGCCCAGAAAACGAAGTGAACGCTCCGAAGAGCCGAGGACGTAGGCATTAAATAAACAAGGGGGTGTGAGGCAGCAGTGACAGGTACAGTGCAGGACGGCGAAGCCACCAGGGGTGAGCCGCGGGAGGTCGGAGTAGTACATGGGGGAAAAATCCCCCCTTCACCAGCAAAGTGGTACAGGCCATATGCTACTTCATTTCTATAGTGTTCAGTACCATTGTGCCAGGAATGGGGGAGATGCAGGGAGGGGCATCCCTTAGCAGTGCTGAACCAATCAGATGCTATGTCTGGGTGTGGGTGGGGCTTTATACAAATGCAAACTGAATGCTTCGGGTATTTGAGGCAAAGTCCGGCCCAGCTTCCGATGGGCCCAGAGGTTGCTTCATCAATGCGCTTCAGCTGCAAGAATATTTGATGGCAGCCGGGCCTGGAGAGGTGTGGGGGCGGGACACGCTGTGGAAGTGCGTGCGGCATGAATACATCACAAACGCACCCCCCCTGCAACAACCACACACAGTGTGCTTACAGATCAGAGTGAGGAGGGCTGGGTGATTTAGTACTGTAGCACAGTACCACAGCAGTATCAGACATGGCAGCGGGGGGAGACGGAGACCTGTAATGCGGTTATGGGGTTGTGGGGATACCCCCCCCCCCGTACCAGGAGATTCTTCCTCCTATCCTTCTCTGAATACAGTCCTGGAGTAAATTTACTGCCTAGTTTGAGTAATAGGTTCTAAATCCCCTTTTTCTGGTCTCAGATTCCCTTTCCGACCCCAGTGAGAGGCTTCTGCAAGCTCCTTGTGCATCTGGGGGCCGGTTTTCCTCAGAGAATCATTCTACATACATAAAAAAATTGCCTTCCTTGACCTATTATAATGGGTTGCAAACGATTTATAAAAGTATCCAAAAACGTCATGGCTGGATGTCTTTCTAGGTGTGAACTAGCGCTGTAAGAAAATATTGATACTTGAGTATCGTGATATGATGTCTTGAGATACTGCACCGATTCAAAAACACTATCAATTTTAATTCATAGTTTTAATCCATAAGATTACTGCCAAACGACGACTCATTTTATGTTGTGTTTGAACAGGCCTACTAGATAACAGCGCTGTAGTCTATCTTCATCCATTTGTCTCTTCCGCTCCAACGGAACAACGTAAACTCAGACAGAAACTAGAGCAAGTGCGTGCCACTAACATTAGCATTAGCAAACCTAGCTAACTAGAAATGCTACCACTGATAGCTGAATCCGAAAGATAAAAAGAGTTAACTTTTTTAAACTCAGATTTTGTGCATGAGGAGTGTTCTTTATACTGCAAGTTTTCCTAAAATTAGATAAAAATTAATAAACAAATAAAAAACGCAATATCGCCTTTCTTAGTGTAATATATTGTAAAATAACCTCTGTATCGTGACACGTATCGTATCGCCAGATTCTTGTCAATACACAACCCTAGTATCAGCTGTAGTGAAAGAGTCCCTTTGCTTGAGGGTTAGGGGGTAACTGGGGTTCTAATGTTCTCTCTATGGTGCCAGCTAGGGAACATCACTTCCTGTAAGACCTTGTTATGGTTAATCACCGGTTAACCAATGAGGGCCGTCATCTTGGATTCTGCTCGGTTATTCTCATTGACTCGAGGGACCAGCGAGTGGAAGGGGCTCTGCTCTGTGCCCACGGTGGGAGCGTGTGTGAGGAAGCCCTCCCATAGACATGGGTATGCCGCAATCTAACTGCCGGCCTAATCGTTTTGGGATATGATGGATACCGTTTGGGCCAGGCAAGTCAAGCGCTCCTCTTGTGAGGGATTGTTGTTCAGTGGAGCGCAGGCCATTATCTCTTAATAATAAGCGAGATCCTCTTCACCGCCTAATCGCCGCATGCATCATACCCCTAGATTCCCCTTACGGTGTTAAATTGGTCTCGTCGAACGGCTTTAAGACCAGCAACACGTTTAGCCGTCGGCAATCATTTATCCGATTCTCACACGATCAACAACACCCAGATCCTGCTAGCCCCCTTCCGGTTACATACCTTGAAGGAGATCTCATACTGCTCCCCTCCCCAGATCTCAAGCCCCGCGTCATATCCTCCGAGCTCCCAGAACCACTTCCTGTTGACGGCGAAGAGTCCTCCAGCCATGACGGGAGACCTGTAGGGTGGAGCACAAACCCAACGCTACAGTAATCGGCTTAGCTTAGCATAGCTAACTTCAGCTCTGCTTTGCTGTTACTCAATCAAAATCGAAGCATCTCATTGTCAACTTCAGATCCATGACGTGTGGAGTCGTACACGGGGGTGAAATATCGTCTGGATTTGTAATTTCTGGACTTGAAATTTCCACCTCTGAATATAAGGTCGACACTTTAACAAATTAAGACATCTTACAAAAAAGGTCCAAAATCCGACATGTTTCTCAGGGGATGACAAACAGGTGCCGAAAGGCAAAACAGAGGATATATTAACGGTAACTGATTTTAGCGTGTGTAGGTTTGAGGTGTCCAAGGAAGAGCCTTTACAAGCTAGCGGATCACAAAGTGACAAATTCCCAATAAAAGTCCAGGCCTGGAAAATGAATGTGTCTGTAAGCTACCATTGGATGAACAGACGGGAAAGAAAATAATGTTAATAATGAACAAAAAATGTAGAAAGAATACCGCGAGGACGCCCACACTCACTTAGGGGTCTGAGAGACGGGCCCAGTTTGCCAATGGGCTGGCAATAAATCACCGTCAGTGGTAATTACTATGGCTTGTACATGAAATTACAGCGACACGGGTGAGATTTCCGCCTGGATGGAACATCGGCCGGCAGTCGCAGCCCCGAGCCAAACATCACCGCCTGACAAGCGTCTTGTCATGGAAATCTCTCCCGGACTCATGCTGCCGGGCCGCGGAACAGCGAGAAACAATTAAATGGGCAGCGGATTTTAATGAGGCACCCGGCACAGAGCTATGGAACGACCCGACGCGGCGCCAGCGGAACGTTTGCTATCGGCTGCCATGGCAACGGAAATTTAAATCAAAAGGACAAGATGATATTCTTGGGGGGATAAAACACAGTTGGGGCAGCGTCTTGACTTCGCCATCGCAGTGAGAAGAGATCGGTTTTTCTTGCCTCTGTTTTACAGATCAATTAAAAGCAGGGAGGGGGCGGGTCAGGTAGTATGAATGCGCCGAGCCCCGGTGGGGGCCGTGAGTCACGCCGGTGTCGGCGATATCAGAGTTCTTCAAGGACACGCGATTTCAGGCGGGTGCGGGGTCTGACATCGACTTCCCGGGATATAAAGACAGGATCCGGAATTCAAGGGCTGTGAAGCCACTGGCTGCACGGCCAAGATAAGAGAGGTAAACGCAGAGGCAAGATGACACCTTATGTAAAAGACGTTCAATAACAAAAAAAAAAAAAAAAGTCTCTCACACACACGGTAATTCCTTCTGCGAATTCCTTCCCTCTCAACCAGATTCGAATCTCCCATCCTAAATAACTCCTGCCCTTACTAGGATTTTTGTGAAACCAACCATGAATAGAGTCCCTTTTTAATTAGAATTGCAAAGTAGCCCCCCTTTCCACTATATTGACCTCTATATTGACCTCTTGCTGCTAGCGGGGGGGAAAAAAAAACAAAAACTCGCGGTAGATGAAAATCTTGTCACGTTTTGAATGGAAAACAGAATTTATTGCCCCCCTACCAATGCTGGAGTCACCAGAATACTAACCTAGGTGCTTCTGAAAGTGAATCTCTCACGCATGTGGAAACTCCTTTCTCAACTTGGCGTTCATATATTTTTGCTCCTCTAGTTACCGATTACGATGCCTGCTGCTGAACCTATAGTATTCACTCTAAAAGGGCAGGTGGGAAGCTGAAACGAAGTAAAACTTCCGTCTGGTAAATTCTGAGGGGGTGACCGCTTCCTTTTCCGTCGGGCACTCACTCGAACGGCTCGCTGGGGTCCTCCTTCTGCAGCTCTGCCGGGATGGGGATGCGCTTGTAGTACATCTCCCAGTCGAAGGCCCCCCGCATGGCATCGCCTGCCTGTGTCTCATAGCCGAAGTTGTCATGGTCGATGACGTCGATCATCGGGCAGACGATAGACTTGCGGTTCTGGGCGATCCGATCTAAGACGGGTGGCACACGGGATTACAAGTGACCTCTTGCGAGGGCCTACACTGGCAAGGACCCTGGCCAGCTCTTAATTCCAGCTAAGATAAAGGCCACCTTTAGTGGGTAACATCTGCACCCAGAACAGAATGTCCTCTCAGTTTTTCCCAACTCGGTCCCCAGGTATCCCCAAACAGTCCATGTTTTTGCTCCCTACCAGACAGTCTATTCTGCTCCCTTCCAGCTCCTAAGGAGCAAAAATGTGGGCTGTTTGGGGGTACCCAAAGATCAGTTTGGGAAACACTGCTCTATAGCAGTGTTTCTCAAACTTTTCCTCGGGGATCCCCGCACAGTCTTCTGGACTGTGCTCTTTCCACTGGATTGTCTGGCAGGGAGCTGAGAGAGCACAAAAAAATGGACAATATGGGGATCCCAGAAGACCAGGTTTGGAAACATTACCCTGTTAATTTCACATTTCACGTATTTTGCTGACGCTTTTATCCAAAGTGACATACGTCCCCTCCCAGGAGCAATTAGGATTATGGGCCTTGCTCAAAGGTACCAATGGCGATATCACTCTGCTGACCCTAGGATTTGAACCTGTGACCTTCTGATCACAGGCGCTGAAGGAGGAACATGTTGAGGCACCACTTACCCAACAGGGGGGGCAGCCAGTTCACGTTTGCCTCACAGTGGGAGTCCAGGAATGTGATGACCTCACCCCTGGCTGCAGAGGCTCCCAATAGCCTCGTCCTGATCAAGCCCTCTCTCTTCTTGGTGCGCAGGATCCGCACTTTGGGCATGCGAACCATGTACTCCTCCAAGGAGGCCTTCAGGTGCTCTGACAGGTGGAGAAAGATATGTGGTTAATTACAGCTGGCCCCCTCTGTTGGCCTGGAGGTATTATGGCAGTAATAGGTGGAGAGTCAGTCTACGGGCCACAGATATTTCACTGGTTGGACACGGACAGGAAAGCAGTGACGTCCGACCTTAAAAAAAAACCTTCAGAAAAGTGAGAAGTGCTGAGAGAGAGGGAGTTAAATGCTGAACGCAAACTTTAAGGAGTGGAAATTGGACAGTAGGATATAGACAGTAGGATGAGTCTTGTACACAACAGGGAGCTGCAAGAGCCGTAGGAGACTCAAGATGTATCCTCAGGCCAAGGAAGAACTCGGAGGAGGAACAGGAAAGCAGAAGGGTGTCAGGCAAGTGATGGACGACTCAAATGCCTTCTGGTTCAACCACCTGCCATATCTGCTTCCAGACCCAGGCATCAGGCGAGAAAAAATGAACCTTCTAAGTCGATTGCAGCGTGACTGGTCTTTAAGAACTACTGGCATCCTTGTTAGAAGGCGTGCTACAATTTTAAAGGCATTCTGATTGCTAAAAAAGGGTAGAACATGTTTTCAGAGGTAATCACATTATAAGGAAGATCACAGTTCTACAACTGCAAACATAAAGAATAGTTACGCATTTCTCAAGCTTTTAATTTCACGGGCCCAGAAGCAGTCAAATCTTGAGGAAGAGATAATCAAATTTACACAAATCAGTATAATCAGAGCATTCCACGCGGTGGAGATTTGCTGCCCGATAAGCTGTATATTTTAAAACCTGCATTAATTGTAGCAAAAATCCGAATGCCCTTCTCAGCTATCAGGACACATCTTGCTGGAATCGATCAACTTGAGCTGGGCGGTGGCGAAAGTGCCAGGTCACGGCCAAGGGGTCTGCTGCGGGCTGATTGCCATCGTCGCCATCGATGACAGACAGAAAGGGATTATGGGAAAGAGGACCCTTTTCGGTACCCGCCGCGACCTAGCTGTACAAGACAATGCATTTATCCGTCCGCAGGCAAGGAAACAGAAGGACAGAGCCTCAGGGTATGAAATGTGCTTAAACACATTTGACTTATTTTAATTAATTGAGAACTTGTGATGCCCTGTTTAGCTCTCCTGTCGATCACATGCTTGGGCTTGCGGTCAATGTGTGTTTTTGGGGGGAACTGGAGCGGCCAGCCAGCAGGCGACATCACCAGCCCCTGTTGACTGCAGTAAATGCGAACGCGGTGAGCCAGCCGCCGCGAAGCAGGAGACGTCGTCCCTGGAGGAGGAGGCTGAGGTCCACGCCATTCATCACTCTAGCAGGTCTCTAATGGGGTGAGACCGACCCCCCACCCCGAAAAGCCGAAAGCAGCTGCTCAGACACCCCCGCCCCGAAGGAATCAGATCCGACAACGACTGAAAACCTCCAAGGAAGCGGCGACAAGACGTGGGCTCCCGGCAGACTCGCGCACACACACACACACACACACACACAC